CTCCCCCTGCTTGTGTTCCTCCCTCTTGCTGTATCTCTCTCTGTCAAATAAATAAATAAATAAAATCTTAAAATAATTTAAAATTTTTCTTAAACAAGCTTCTTAAAACAGAAAACAATATATATTATGTATATATCTATTACATTGATCAGTTCTAACTCTCAAAAAGACATTATAGGCCTAAATTCTATTTTATAAAAAAAAATGACCATTACAGAAAAGAATGTATGTGACGCATCACTAGTGTGAAGTATTTTTTTAATCCTTAGTGATATGCTTAACTCAAATTTTTTTAGATGAGGCAGATTTTTAATTAGCATATATGTAGTAAAATCTTTTCACTTAAAAATAGCAGTTGAAATCCTACTATAATTCTCTATTTTGTTTTAAAATAGATTAAGAAGCCTATCTTTGGTGCTTTAGCTACTTTAAAAGATCCATTGAGTGTTAAGTTATACATATATAAATGATTGTTTCTTTCTTTATTTTAAATGAATGAAGGAAAATGATATTTTATATATAAACTATGAAAAAATCGCATAACTCTTTAGCACATGAAGATAATAGACGAGTAACCCAATTTGTGTCTAAAATCTAAATTGGACAGATTCAAATACAATTCTGTTACTCTGACTTCTACAGTGTTCTATACCTTATTATTAATTATAACTGTTAATTCTTCATAGAACTGTGTCATTTCACCACGTCAGTCTGCATCTGTTGTGCCTTAATATGAAAAACAAAGCCATTTTTTGAATTTATAAAAGGTTTTCCATTGTTAGATTTCATATGCATGAAAACCCAAACAAATAATATGAACTTATTTTACTACTAGAAGATGTCTATATTACTGATAATGTGGACAGATTATTTTACAAGTTTAAATACGCTTTTATGAAAGAAGCCTCATTAGACAATAGTTTTAATAGCATTGGAAAAATATTTTTGCCTATAAAAATTACCAGGTCATTAACAAAATTGCAACATCAAAATGAGTTATATCTTGTGAAAATATGATTTTTATGTCAATCAAAATTTATATATATTTCCATGACATCATCCAGAGGTGTTCAGGAACATGGTCGCATTAAAGAAATGACTTGTATTTTGTTGTCCTTATAAGAGGAAAATTGACACTTTTTCAGTCGTAAGTCAGAAGGCATTCTGAATACAGTCAAGGCCTCACCAATTGTTTGTAAGGTTCAGGGTTTCTTATTTAGTGCAGCAGTAATGCAGAAGGCATCTTCACGGTCAACTCTTAGTAAGATTTTGTTGTTCCGTATCTTTGAGATATTTATTCTTAAATAATTGATAAAAGTGCTTTTATGCTAAATTTAAATACCATAGGACTGTGCTTAATATGGCATGTAGTTATCTAGACTTTTATGTATATATGTATGAATGTATTTCAGGTCCCCTAAATTTCAGTAAATACTGCATTAAAACCAGGTATGACAGAGCTAACTGCTCCAATGAGCATCAGTACTGTCCCCAAACCGCCACTGAGAGAACACTGTTTCTCCTTAAATGCTGGTTCCCCAGCATCAGAGAGGCGAAGGGCTGAGCTGCCCATATGGCTTTATTACCTTACTTGGAAACCTAGAAAAACCACTGTGGACTGTTCATGGTTAATTCTCCACCCATAAGAAACACTGACTACAACAAACCCTAAAATTCTTATGAAAGGGGGAAAAGCTTCACTAATGAATACAAACCGCATACCTCAGAGGCATCCATTCCGCGATAAGCATTCTGCCAACTGATTGAAGACTCTCCTAGAGGAACTGCTGTAGCTCCTAGAAAAGCTCCTTCGTGAAGCAAATGGCCTTCCGAAGATACCTGTAGTGTTGGCCTCTCAATAGAGCTCATCTTCAAGAAGCTCCTGAAGTTGCTACTTTGACTGCCTGCTACCTTCATTTACTTACTCACTATGAAATGAAACCTATAGAACTAGTTCATATTTTCCATAGCTCTCCATAGTGCCCACGGGAGTCTTGAGAACTTACCATAGGCCGTGGGTGATTAGCTTTTTCAGGTGATTGAACATACAGTCAAGAGAAGTATAAATAAACTTTTTATATGACTGTTTACCCAAATCTAATCCTTCTCTCTGGATCTTTTCCCCAGCCAAGCTTCAGAAGACTTGTTTCTATAACCCTTTCCTAAGGAACTATATTTTATGGGTTGAAAATTATTCTCATAATTTTCTACTTTAAATTTGTCCCATTAGAATGCAAGGTTCATAGATAAATAACCTATAGCTGGTTAAGATATGCATTTAAAGTATACCTTTTACCTCAGATAAAACTAGATTTTAAACACACTCACTCCCAAGAAGTAATCCTATTTCATCAGGGCTCTCTTTACTTTCTTTTACTAAATATTACCTGCCAAAAATGTGAAATTAAACTGGGAAGTCTCTGGAGATAGAAATTCTAATAAAGCCAAGCCTTCAAAAATGCAGAACAATTGACAAGAGTTTAGCTGGAAATTGACAGGCATGTCGTGGGATTCAGTGTTCCTAATACTCATTCTCGGAAGTTGCAAATGAGACTGTTAATGAGAGAGCATAAAGACATGAAAAATTCCAGTTGAAGAAAAATTTCCAAATGTGAATGTAAAATTATAAGAATGTATGAAAGATAATTAATCTTTCAAGATACCAACTTGCTTTGGTTTCCCTCCAGCGAAATTATGGGGAGTGGAAGCAACCAGTAGAAAATGTTTAATTGAACTGAATGGTTTGCTAAACCCCAGAACCAAATTCCAAGTGAAGCACAATTTTCCTTTCCCACAACTCTTATCAACAGGAGGGACACCTATTTTTTTAAAAATGTTTCAAGTCAGGCTATTTATGGGGGTGGACAAGGTTCTCTGTGGGCCTATGTATAATAATAATCATTCAGAATAAATATTTTTATGAATGCATGTGATGTGTGAATATATATCAGGCAAAGTAGTAGCTCTTTTCATTTCTAATGAGGAAAATGTATTACAAAAACGTAGATTCACCATTCCTACAGAATTTATGAGAAATAACTTTGACTTGTCATGGTGAGTTATGTTTAACGGTACCTTTAAAATGATTCTTGCTCATTCTGTGTTATTTGATTTTGTGTTTTTAACAGTAACTGGCACAGGTGTTTAATAAATGGTTATTGAATTGAAAAAGCACGTTCTTCAGCCCAATTATGGATGAGACACCACTTTAATTTACTTATATGTCCAAGACTAGGTAATTCTATCCACTTAGTATGGCAGGAGATGGGGCATCACTTCTTCAAAGCCATTGGACGGGTGCTTTCCAAGCTTACTTTTCCTTGTTTCTGATAGATTTCCTAGCAGATTCAAAAGAATGTTTTCCAGCTTGCTTCACACAAGTTTCTTAAGTGGATTGCCACCAGTACCTATATTTCCTGGAATATTTAAATAAACAACACTAAAATCAGTTTGTGGTTATTAAATATCTGCACAATGACCAATGTTTCCAGTACATGGAACATGCAGAATGATGGGCAGCAGGCTGAGCCCAGGTTCATCCAAATGCCTGGTAAACAGAATATTTAAAGCATACGTTATAGTAGCCGTAAATAAAAAATCTGGATGTCATGCACTTCCAAAAGTCATTAGCAGTGCCTAAAATACCCAGGGCTGATTTTGGTGTATCTGATACCGAATATGACTCAGTTATTTTTAGATGTTGCTTCAGAAAGCAGCTGAGGTAACAGTGCCATGGTTTTCACAGTGCTGAGATTTGGCAAATACACAGAATTCATAGTTGAGTTTCTGGAGCTCTGCACTGAAGCCTCCAAGCTGCCCAGACTCTTCAGGTTACTCAGTTCCAACGTGAGGAGCCAGTCACAGCTAAGAAATCTGTTTTCCCCCGGCCCAGTAGTTTGCTGGATGCTAGGTTTAGGTAAACAAATGGAGGAATTTAAGTGTTAAAGAAAAAAAAAAACAAAAAACAAAAACAAAGGTAATGACCTATCTAACAATTAATTTTCACCACCTTATCAGATAATTAGAAGCTTTTCAGATGAATGGCCTTGTCGTTTCAGTGTTGTTACGTGCAATGCAATCTTAGATGGTAAATAGGGCCCAGTTCCAGTGGTCTAGCTCCGTTTCTCCTTCCATTAACTTTCAAATTATGTTAGCTAACTTGAACTTATCACTCTACTCTTTTATTAGAAACAACTGAAAACAGAGGAGGGTGGGGGGATGGGGTCACTGGGTGATGGGCATTAAGGAGGGCACGTGTTGTGATGAGCATTGGGTATTACACGCAACTGATGAATCACTGAACACTATACCAAAAACTGATGAGGTACTATATGCTGGCTAATTGAATTTAAATTAAAAAAATAATTGAAATAGAACCCCTTGAACAAATTTGGGGAGAAAATAAAATTTAGCAAAACAGCTCTCTCCCATGTAGTTAACCAAAGTCTTCTTCATTCATTCATTACTTTCCATTCTGCCTAGATTAAGAGAATCCAAGTATCTGGAACAGGTTTGAGAGACATAAAAAGATAAAAGCATGTTTCTTCCTATCCTGATCTGCCCTGAAAACCTCCATAGCCCATCATCCACTTTAAAAAGGATAGAAAAAGACCACCGAAGTGAGAGGGACTCATAACAGAGAGCACTGAGAGAATAAAATGGGGGAGAAGTTATTTATAGCTGCTCATACATGATTAAAATTGTAAAAGCAAGAATCCACTCTACTTGGGCATTCTGATCTGAAATTATAGCATTATTTTTCTAAAAATGCCTGTGTGTGACCTTGAAATTTTTCTGAAAAGAGAACAGAAATGAGGAATGCTCTTTAGCAATTCAAGCACTGGTAGGCATCATTTTCTCAAATATGGACACTTTGCATCTGTTTCTCACACTGGAAGGACGCCCTGCTGCGACTCATTCGTCCTTCTGCCTTTTCATTGCAGGTCCCAAAGCAAGTGGCCATGTGCTTTCCTGGCCAAAGTCAGGTCCAAGTAGCCGGAAGGGGAAAGAGGCAAGCAAGTGAACCAAAAGAGCCCTGGGGAAGGCTCCCCCCTGACTCGGCCTCAGCCCTCCTGTGGCTCCCAGCCTGCTGGAGTTTTCACTGCAGGCGTCACCATGGGAACGAGGTTGAGGCAGATTGAAGGAGAGGATGTAGGCCCAGAACCTGAAGGTGAAACTATGGATACATTTTTTTTTTCCCCATAGAAACATCGTTACTTCTGTTGGGTTCTGTCATGCAGAGTCCCATGCCTTGGGCATGTGATGAGTTAAAGAGGTTTTCATGGACGGGCCTAATGTCTAGATACTAAGAAGTGTGCTCTGAGAAACAGTAGTTCTAGCAGGCCATTAGCAAAACAGAACTCAATGATAGTGATGTGTGATCAAATAGAGTTTGGAAAACACTTGATTCTGTACTTCTGCTCTTTAATATTTACAATGCATATTAGCATATAAAAGGCTCTGTGAAATCCTAAGTTTAAATGAAGGAATCTGTTGACATTGCTTTTCCAGACCTTATGTAAACAAAAACCTTTTTCTCTCCCATGAAATCCCTTAACAGTAGAAAACATGCCCTGCAGCAGAGGTCCCCAAATATTTTCCATCAAAGGCCTAACAGTCAATACTTTAGGCTTTGTGGTAGGTTTGTCAGATAAAATATGGACACTCAGTTAAATTCGAATTTCAGATAAACAATGAATACTTTTTAATAAAAGTATGTCCGCAAAAGAATTAGTTGTATTGGCTATGTCTGTTTGTATTCACTAAATCTAGAAGCCCACTTTGTGGGCAACAACTGGCCGTGACTCAGCCCTGCTGTTGGGCAAAAGTCGCCACAGACAAGGCATGAAGAACAGGCGTGGCCAGGTTCCAATACGACTTTATTTCCGGACATGGAAATTTGAATTTCATATAATGTTCATGTGTCAGGAAATATCTTTCTTTTGATATATTTTTTCAACCACATAAGAATGTGAAAGCCATCCTTAACTTGCAGGCTATGTAAAAACAGGCAGGAGACTGACATTGGCTTGTGGGGTGTAGTTTGCAATGCTATACTTGCTTTCTGAATGACCAGGATTTAGACAAGTGGTTTCTTGGGGTACAACTAACTGGGAAATGTAGGCAGGCAAGTGTCCCTCGCTGCCTTGGGACAGATGCATCATCCCTGCTAGAGAACTGAGTTTTGAGCTCTGCTGATGAGCCCCACCTGTTTCAGACTCATCTACTTCAAGAGAAATCAGCAGAAATTGTCCCTTTCTTGGGGGGGGAGAGGGGAGGCTGGCTCGGGAGTCTCTGGACGCGACTGGCACTTGCAGACCGTAGGCCCCTCAGTCTATCAAAACATCAGCCTACCAACACAATACACAGTGGTAGACTAAAGGCCTAGACTGACGTTTTAACGATTTTTTTTTTAAATTCAAAGGAATGAAGTAGAAACACTCATTTAACAGGTAAAAAGTTAAAAATAACAATCACACAAACTCACGTAAAGCAGGAGCGAGGCCTTCCTTTGAAATCATGGCATCATATTTGCACCCAGAGACTTTGGGAGGAAGACGATTGAGAGTAAGTTCTCCCACTGTTGGTTTGACCTCAAACCATTCTAGAAAATACGAGTACAGAAACTCTTCGTTAGAAATTCACTATGGCCATTGCCAAAATAAGACACCACAATTTACAAAGTAGGCAAATTCTTTAGACGTTTCTTTAATCATATTCCTAAGAGTGGTGTGGATGGGAGGTTATTAACCCTCTCCCCACATTGTTCACACCTCTGATGTACAGAATAGTTGCTTTAAAAAGTTACTTTAAAGACAACATCTTTATGTTCCTATTAGTTTTTTAATAAGTTCTTATTTAATAGTAATATGTATACAGAAAAGTGAACAAGTCGTGTGTTTACAGGCTGATGAATCTTTGGAATGAATACACCTGGGTTGTATTATTAGTATCCCCAAATCCCCTGCCTATCTCTCCCATACAGTACCCTAAAAAGAAAACACTCTATTGACTTCTGTCATAAAAGGTTAGATGATTTTTTTTGTATTTCATGTGGGTTTTTTTATATTTCATATAAATCATACAGGATTTATTTCATTTTTCAAACATGTTTATACTATAAAAATAGTGACTTAAAATTACTTCCATGTTTCCCATATTTCTTATTAAATCTATAAACTATCACACTTGGGCATTGATTTCCCTGTGCTTCTAAAGATCACTTACCCCTCCTCTGCAGCTCTCAGCCTTCACTGAGGCCGGAAAAAGAGTCTAAGGTAATTTCTACTCATCAATCAGACCTTGTTAATGCTATATACAGCTCTGGTCAATAACATTCTCAGAACTGTAATTATCACAGTTAATTACTTTGGCTGAGCTTACAATCAACAGTCTCAAAAATCAAGACTGGTAAGAATTGAATACTGTTCAGGAATCTGAAGGGTTGAGGTGAACCATGGCTAAAGAGAAATTGTGGTGAAAAGAAGACAAGGGAGATAGAGGTTAGCTTTGCACCAAGATGGACTTTTATTTTATTTTATTTTAAAGATTTTATTTATTTATTTGAGAGAGAGAATGAGAGAGAGAGAGCATGAGAGGGGGAGGGGCAGAGGGAGAAGCAGACTCCCTGCCGAGCAGAGAGCCCCATGCGGAACTCGATCCCGGGACTCCAGGATCATGACCTGAGCCGAAGGCAGTCGCTTAACCAACTGAGCCACCCAGGCGCCCCAAGATGGACTTTTAAATAGAAGATTAAATAGAATAGTTGTGTTTTGTTCTAGAAATCCCAACTAGAGCCAATGAGAAGCAGAAATGGTGAGATCGACTAAATGTAAGCAAATGTTATGTATAAAAAATAATTGTATCTGATTTGTGGTATTAAAAAAAAAACTTGACAGAACTAAAATGCTGAAGTGTGGTAGGGGGCTGGGCAGGAGTCGTCATTGTCATTGTTTTAGGGTCCTTATAGTTGGAGAAAGAAAGTAAAGATATTAATTTTACATTAGGATACATATGCATGTTAAAATTTTTAGGGTAGCACTAGAAAGAGTAGAAATTTTAAATTTTCCAAATTAGTAGGGGTGGGGGGGAAGTCTTTAAAAAAGATTCAGTCCGAAAGAAAAGATAGGTGAGACAAAAACAAGGAACAGAAAAAGAAAAAAAGGCCACAAAATAATATGATAGATGTGAGGGCAAATATAACAGTAGGCAGTACTACTGAATTCATAACAATTAAAATCACAGTGAATGAAATAAGAAAGGTCCATGCCACAGGATATTTCTAAGAATTGCAGGACTTGCTTTACCAAGTATCAGCACTTACTGTACAGCACTAGTAACTAAGACAGTGAGGGTGTTGAGGTTGCACACAGGTAGACAAAATCAGCTAGAGCTGGGAAACAGACCCATATACATAAAGAAACTGGAAACGTTTGAGACAGGAGGGTATTATTACAAATCAGGGAGAAAAGAATAAATTTTGTTCAGGAAATGGTCTGAGACAGTTGGTTCTCCATTTCAGTTGCAGATGAATTAAGATCTTAAAAGAGACTAACCCCTTACCAGATCTATGTTTTGCAAACCTTTTTTTTTTTTTTCCATTTTATAGGTTACCTTTTCACTCTTGTTTCCTTTTTTATGTGGAAGCCTTTTAGTTTGATACAATCGCACATGGTTTTTTTTTTGCTTTTGTTGCCTGTGCTTTTGATGTCATTTCCAAAAAATCATTGCCAATGCCAATGTCAAGAAACTTTTTTCCTATGCTCCCTTCTAGTAGTTTTATGGTTTCTTAAACATAAGACCTATTCTGGTCTTATGTTGGGGTGTGAGATAAGGATCCAAACTCATTCTTCTGCAAGTGGATATTCAATTTTCTCAACATGATTTATTGAGGAGACTATCTTTTCCCCATTGTGTGTTCTTGGCATCCTTATTGAAGATCAAGTGTCTGTAAATGCATGGATTTATTTCTGGACTTGCAATTCTGTTTCATTGGTCCAAATGTCTGTTTTCATGCCAGTACCTTACTATTTTAATTACTATAGCTTTGTATTTAGCTTGAAATCAGGAAGTCTGATGTCTCCAGCTTTGTTCTTCTTTCTCAGGATTGCTTTGGCTTTTCGGGTTCTTTTGTGGTTCCATATGAATTCAGGATTGTTTTTTCTATTTCTGTAAAGACTGCGATTGAAATTTTGCAAGCTTGCATCGAATCTATAGATCAATTGGGTAGTATAGACATTTTAACAATATTAATTCTTCTAATTCATGAACATAGGATGTCTTTCCATTTATCTGTCTTCTTTTATTTCCTTCATCAATGTTTTATAATTTACAATGTATAAAGGAGTAATATCCAAAACATATAAGGAACTCATACAATTCAATAGCAAACAAAACAAATAACCCAACTAAAAACTGGGCAAAGGACCAGAGTAGACATTTCTCAAAATAAGAAATACAGGAGCACCTGCCTGTCTTGGTTGTTGGAGTGTGTGACTCTTGATCTTGGGCTTGTGAGTTTGAGCCCCATGTTGGATGTAGATATTACTTAAAAAGAAAATCTTAAAAAAATAAGGTATACAAATGGCCAACAGGTATATAAATAGGTACTCAACATCACTAATCATGATCAGTAATCAGGGAAATGCAATCAAAACCACAAAAATATATCATCATACACCTGTTAGAATCGCTATTATCAAAAAAGACAAAGTATAAAAAGTGTTGGTGAGAATGTGGAAGAAAAGAGAACCCTTCTACACTGTTGGTGGAATGTAAATTGGTACAGCCATTATGGAAAACAGCATGGAGACCCAAAATTAAAAATAGAACTACCATATGATCCAACAATACCACTTCTGGGTATATATCCAAAGGAAATGAAATCAGTATTTCAGAGAGGTATCTGTACCCCCATGTTCATTGCAGCATTATTCACAATCACTGAAGATATGGAAATGCATGAATGTATAAAGAAAATGTGATATGTATGTGTATACACACACACAAACAATGGAATATTAATGGAATATTAATCAACCTTTTTGCTAAGTGAAATAAGCCAGATGTGGAAAAATAATACTGCATGATTTCACTTCTAGGTGGACTCTAAAATAGAGTCATAGAAGCAGAGAGTAGAATGGTAATGTCCAGGGATTGGGGGGAAGGGGACATGGGGAGATGCTGATCAAAGGTATGTAAGATGGATAAATTCTACAGGTCTAATACATATCATGGTGACTATAGTTAATAGTGTATCATGTACTTGAAATTTGCTGCTGAGAGGATTGATCTTAAGCGTACTCACCACACCAAGCAAACAAGGAAAAAAAAGAAAAAAGAAGGAAAGAAAGAAACAAAGAAAATGGCAATCATGTGAGATGGGTATGTTTGATTGCAGTGATCATTATACAATGTATATGTACATCAAAACGTCAAGTTGTATGCCTTAAATATATTTCTATTTGTCAATTATAACTCAATAAAGTTGAAAAAATTTTAAAAGTGAAAGGCTAACATAACATTTTTCTATATATGTCTCCGAGGCAAGGGAGATAAAAACACAATAAACTATTGGGACTACATCAAAATAAAAAGCTTCTGCACAGTGAAGGAAGCAATCAACAAAACTAAAAGGCAACTCATGGAATGGGAGAAGATATTTGCAAATGGCCTATCTGATAAAAGGTTAGTATCCAAAAAATATAAAGAACTTATACAACTCAACACCTAAAAAACCAAATAATCCAATTTAGAAATAGGAAGAAGGTATAAACAGACATTTCTCCAAAGAAGACATCCAGATGGCCAACAGACATATGAAAAGATGCTCAATGTCACTCATCATTAGGGAAATGCAAATCAAAACTATAATGAGCTACCACCTCACACCTGTCAGAATGGTTAAAATAAACAACACTGTTTATTTTGCACTGTTGGTGGGAATGCAAACTGGTGCAGCCACTGTGGAAAACAGTATGGAGTTTCCTTAAAAACAGAACTACCCTACAATCCAGTAATCATGCTGTTGGGTATTTACCCAAAGAATACAAAAACACGAATTCAAAGGAATTAATGTACCCCTATGTTTATTGCAGCATTATTCACGCTCGCTAAACTACGGAAGCAGCCCAAGTGTCCATCAATAAATGAATGTATGAATGTATATATATATATATATACACACACAATGGAATTTTACTCAGCCATAAAAAAGAATGAAATCTTGCTGTTTGCAACAACATGGATGGGGCTAGAGAGTACAATGCTAAGGGAAATAAATCAGAGAAAGACAAATACCATATGATTTTGCTCATATGTGGAATTTAAGAAACAAAACAAATGAGCAAAGGAAAACAAAAGCAACAAACCAAGAAACAGACTCTTAACTCTAGAGAACAAACTGAAGGTTACCAGAGGGAGGTGCATGGGGGGGGGATGGGTGATGGGGATGAAGGTGTGCACTTGTTGTGATGAGCAGCGGGTGACATATGGAAGTGTTGAATGACTATATTGTACACCTGAAACTAATATAACACTGTATGCTAACTTTACTGGAATTAAAAGTTAAAAAATAAATAAAAGTGAAAGGCTAAACTTCAGTAAATTTAAATATAGGAGAATGTTTTTATAACCCCAAGATGTCAACAGTATTGACCATGAAGTTTGTATTTGTTTTTCATTTCTGCCATAACAAATTACCATAAATTTGGTGACTTATGAACAACAGCCATTTTATTCTCCCAGTACAGAAGTCTCAGGGCTTCTTTTTAAAGTCTCACTGGGCTGAAATCAAGGTGTTGGCAAGGCAGCATTCCTTCTGGAAGCCCTGGGGATAAATCCTCTCCCATGCTCATTCAGGTTTTTGGCAGAATTTGGTTCCTTGCCCTTCTAGGTCCAAAGTCTCTGTGTGGTTGCTGGCTGTCTCCGAGGGTTGTTCTCTGCCCTTTGAGGCCATGCCCCTACCTCCTTGTGTTCTCTGAGTGGCCCCTGCAGCAATGGAAGGCTGAGGCCCTCTCACACTTCAGACCATTCCTGCTTCTGCTTCTGCTGCATTGCTCTGATTCCACTTGGAGAAAGTTCTCTGCTTTTAAGTGCTCATGTGATTAGACTGGACCCACCTGGATAACCCAGCATTAACTCCCTAGGTCAAGGTGTGCAACTTCTGCAAAGCCTCTTTTGCCATGTCATGCGGCATACTCACAGGTTCCAGGGATTGGGGCATGAACAACATGGGGGCCCCATTCTGCCTACTACAAAGATGGATAAAATCTAAATTAAGAAATATATATGAATGAAATTAAGAACATAAATTGTATGCATGAACTTTTTTTTTTTTTTTTACATCAAGGAAATTACAAACAAAGGCAGCAGGACAGTGGTGACTCTCAGAGGGAACCATGGAGAATGCAGTAAGAAGGACACCAGCAGAATGTAAAGGTATTGGTAATGTGCCACTTCCTAGACCATAAAGGGATTCAGAAATATTTATTCATTGTCTTCTTTAAATCGTACATACACTTTATATGCATGCATGTATGACAAAAATCACAGCAAAATTTTAATGTTTAAAAACATACAAAAGAATTTGAATACACAATTCCACAACAGGATTAATAAACTCAATTCTTTCTCTACTCACAAACTCATGAGTGGAACCAGAAAGGAGAGCAAATCAAGGAAGAGAAACAAAAACTGATAGGCAATGGAAGATGAACAGAGTAAGAGAGGACGAAATCCAAGATATCCAACTCACAGTTAGGGGCAAGTGACAGTTACTGCTCTCGTTTCCTTCCAGGGACTAGAGAGAAAATGGCTCTTCAGAAAACTGGGGTTCAAAAGAGCGAAATCCTAATGACTACAGCTGCCTTATTCATTAATGGTTTGGGTGCCACCGTCACGATAAAGTCACTAAGTGTCTGGAATCAAGGACTACAAAATTCCAGGACACGAGTGGTGTTAGAAAAGCAAAAGCAAAAACAAAAACAAAAAACAAAATAAAGTTCACTAACTTACCAACTGTTGGGACTCTGATGGCAAATGCTTTGGATGCTTTGAGAATTACTTCGGTGGCATCTCTGGAAAGTTGCCTTGGGTTGCCCCAGTCTGCCTTACCTTACCCAATCTACATACGGAGGCTACTCCAGAAAGGGTAACACTGACCATACGCTAGAAAGCATCTGGAATGAATCACGGTAGTCCAGGCTTTTCCTAAAGTACTTATATCCTGATGAAGTCTTAAATATTCCCATCCTCTTTAGTAACTTGAGATGATATGTGAACCTCTTATTTCCCACAAAATTTTATGTGAACACTTTCACTAACGTTTTTCTTAAAAGTATTAATACACTCAGTTAAGCTATGTTTGCATTAGAAAAATTATTACATAAACCACTCCAATGATAATAAATCGTTCCACTGCTAGCATAAGAGAACTATTTTCCCTTTAAGCCTGGGACAGAAAAAGCAGAAATGGGACAGACAATGGCCAGCTTTTCTTTCATTTGTAGTCAAGTATAGCCTCATTAAGTTGGGAAGAACTCAATTGACTATTTCCAGGGAAAACTTACTTGGATGCAGTTTTCTGCTTAATTTTCTTTGCAACATTTGTAGAAGTAAGAGGAACTCTACTTTAAGTTCATTGCTGAGCATGTTGGGATTGCTTATTATTTCTGATAACCTGATGTTATCTTTAATCGACTTGGAAGCTGTAGACCGAGGAACTAGGGGCAAACGCATCTGGTAACTATAGTCTGTGAAATTCACGAGGTCGTCCTGGATACTTTTAATTCTGGAAATAAAAAATAAAATACTGTTCACAAGCCACATTTTAGTAGTGAGACTGATATCAAATTTTCATGTTAAACTGTATCGCTAGAAAAATTCCGAATGACTTACTCTCGATGTGTTAACAAGGTATAAACCTCTTGGATCAGGATTTCAGGTACTCCAGCTTTGCAATGAATTGTTCCATGGATTAGCTCTTTAGGTAATTTAATTTTTTTTCTTGCCAGGAACTTTAATAGTAGAAAGAAAGAATTTTCATTATAAGAAGTTCTATATAAATCTCCAATTCCTAGGAATTCACTTTAATCCCCCTTTTGTCTCTCAACTAATTTTTTTTGTGTTTAACGTGTTAATTATTAAAATATACTATTCTTCAGCAAGAAAACCAATTATTCCGTCCCACTCCAATTTGAAATGAGTATGCTCAGTTTCATGAGGGACTCATGATAAGCTTTAACAACATTCTTTTCAATACAGGGAAATGAGCTGCCCAACTCAGTAGCCACACACACATATGTGTAGATATCCAAGAGGTCAGGAGAACACCTTTAAAAACACAAAATTCTTAACAAAGTGTCAATGACTGCTAATTTACCTGCTCCAACTGTGCCCAGTTATCCAACTTGACTTTCAAAGAAGTTCCATTTTCAAAGGATGACAATTTAAGGTCCCAGGGGTAATATATAGTGAATATTTCTGCAACCAGGAAACCATTTGAAAAATCCCTGATCCACACATAGATAGCATTAAGGAAATGAAATAAAATGTAGTTACTTTTACAGTTGGTAATATTTTATAATCAATTAACACCGATTGAATATTCCATACTGACAGCAAATAACTTATAAAATTAGTTTTGTTGGATCATTGCTTTGAGGAAGATTTGCTATGGAATAGAATTTTGATAAGATTAGATACACACCAAAGGCTTTGGTGTTCTTTTTATGAACCTAAACTATTAATTCGTATTGACTCTGCATTTTAACAAGATCCCTAGCTGATTCCTATGCACGCTGAAAATGTCAGGCATGTCTTTATCAAAAAATATTGAGATTAGTAAACCAGAGTCCCTGACTGCAAAAAATGTCATCGTCTTCATATTTATGGGGGTTAGTTCGCATTCCCAGAGCAGATATTAACTGCCCGTTAGGTTCAGGGTGGCTGCAGTTAGGCATCAACTTTCTTCAGTAGGTGCCATCCGGAGGGTAGACTGATCCCCACGGCTATTAATTGATGTCCAGTGTTTCTAAAGAAAGAGGCTTGACTGTTTAAATGTTTTTGTAGTCACCAAGGCATTCTATATTAGCTTAAGTCTAAAATGTAATGATTGATTGAATGGATAAATATACGAAAGCTTCCTCGTGTATTTTGCAGGCCCGCTCCCTCAGAGGGGAAGGGGTGTGCGTGCGTGCGTGCGTGTGTATGTGTGTGTATGTGTGTGTGTGTGTGTGCTGAGCGGGCAGGGGTCTGGCACGGAAACCTAGACTGGGCGGAGCAGCCTAGCTGAGTGGGGCGGCCCCTGCGCCGTGGCGGGGCAGGCGGGGCAACGGGGTCGTCCGTGGGTGCCCGGGATGCTCAGGCCCAGGCGCCCGTCTAGGCGGCTCGCTCCTGCACCTGTTGACGTTCCTGGGGAAGAAGGTGAGATCCAGGCCCTGGAGCCAGCGCAGAACCGACCGAGACAGGCGGGAGCTCTTCGGTGGATGCGGATAGACCAGCCATTTCTTAGGCTTCCCTCGGACGGGAGCTGCCGCCTGTGGCGAAAGCGACGGTGACGTGGGTAGGGCTGCCGCCGGCAGTATCAAAAACTTTTCTCCCAGGCCGGCGGTAGCCATGTCGCTTTCTGGGTTTCTATGGCAGCATTTGCGGCGGGGCGGGGCCTGTGGGGGCGGAGCCTCAGTGAGGCCGGAGGAACCGCTTGGGCGGGGCGGAGCCTCGGTGTGGCTGGGCGGGGCCTGTTGGCGGGCGGGGCTTCAGCCGGGTAGGCGGGGGGCCTCGCGGATCCCCCAGTTAGGGGAGCTGACGCTGGGATTGGGGCACGCGATCCCTGGCTTCATTGGGTGGACGCTTTCAATCTTAGTTGTCGTTAGCCCTACTTCTAACCAATTTAGAGCTTCCTTCCAAACCCCTTGTCCTTATACATTTACATTTTAAATACTGCGGTTTCAGCCCAGCCAAAGGCCTATTTTCAGTCAAGCATTTTGAGGAGGATGTGAGAAGCCTCCAGAAGACAACGTCAGTTTTTGTTTAGAAATTGGAAATGATAGGGTATTTGCTCCAAAACGCCAAAGAAAACATTTTCGAAATTAAAAGGAATAGATGTCTGACGTCTATAGATTTAACATGTTTCCTCAGTTATTACATTAAGTGTTCATAAAAATTACATAATATTCGAAAATAATTTGTAGGTTTTCACATTTCACAAAGATGCCCTCGTATATATGATTCATTCCTTCAGGCACTGACCTAGTCATTTGGGGTTTATCAGTGAACAATGCAGAGAAAAAAAATGATTGCTGAGCCAGCATCGACAGTTACAAATTAAATATTTACACAACAAATTGACTAAAATCCTTTAAAAACTTTTGCAAAAAATAAAGTCACTTAATGTGGCATATAGATACGTATTATTATGCAAGATAAAATATGACTAGATCTTGATAGTGGAGCTACATAATATTTCATTGAATGTTTACTCAAATACACATTTATTAATGGAGTAAACCAATGTGAATCTGTATATGGCTTGAAAGAAAAAAAAATGAAGCTAAGAAAGCGTTTTCTTTTTTTCCCAATGAGGTTTTTCATGAAGGATTCATTCATTCAGTGAATTTTTTTTTTTTTTTTGAGGAACCGTTCTGTGCTATGTTATGCACTGGATCTTCACTATCCAGTACTGTAGCCACTAGCCACCTGTGGCTAGTTAGATATAAATTTAAATAAAATAAAATGAGTAACACTGGCTACATTTCAACTGTTTAATAGCTACGTGTGGCTAGTGGCTACGTGTGTTGTAAAGAAGAGACACAACCCTGTCATTGCAGGAGGTTCTATTAGACAGCTGTGGACTAGACTATTTATAGAAGGTACACAGTTAAAAATATCAGTAAAAAGATCATGTACACTGAAAAGCTCTGCCGTGGTAAAAATATATTAGTATCAGGGAGGAAGCAAATAATTTGGCCTGAGGGACTCTAGGAGTCAGTCCTTTCAGAGGAGGTGACCTTTGATTTGGATCTTATAAGGCAGTATTTTAAATTGCTTATGACAGAGGTTTTGGAGGACCGGGTCTACTTTTTATTGATTACGTGACTTCGGGCAAGTTGTATAGCTATTTTTATTTGCAAAAGGAGGAAATAAATAATGTATACCTCAGAGGGTTGTGTTAAGGATTAAATAAGTTAAATATGCAAAGAGCCTAGAATAATGTGCAGCAATAGTAAGTGTTGAGTAAGTGTAAATTATTGTTTCTAAGACAGTCGGGAAATCTGTGGGATGAGGGGGACGGGAACAGTTCCACACAGAATGACTACTCTGAGCAAAAGCACAGAGGATATAATCTGTGATTTGAGAGTTTTTTAATGAGTTTGGGGAAATACCAAATCCTTAGGATTAGAGAAAGTATTTAGGCTTTAGCATGAGTTCTAACCCAAGATTTAGGTAGTAACGGCCAAGGAGGTAGATTAGGGCTTAACTGAACACAGTCTTGCTAAGAGTCAGAACTTTCCTGTAATAAATGTGCCAGTTGTTAAGCAGATACAGCTCTGTTTCAAACACACCCTTCTTTATTTCGCTTGTTGGAACGCCGCAGTGTGGTTTCTCCTTCGCTAAAAGCTTTATTAAATGGTGACAATAGGGGGAGCTAGAGAGAGGCCGGGAGGGGAAGGGAAGAGGGATTTGCTGTTTCCCCTTCTGCTTGCATTTCACAGGGGTGTCACCACAGCAACAAAAGTTAACCTGGCAGTGACAGCTGGTTCCAGTCTCCAACTTTTTTTTTAGCTTTCCTGGAGCAGATTTCATTATACTCCCTCAGGTGTTTAGCAAGCACTGAGAAGTGACCCTCCTTAAAGAGTCAGGGATTTTACCCTGGGACCGCCCTTCTGAGCTCCAGAGAGTTGGCAATAGCCCTGTAGTTACGGTCCCCCTTCAAGAGTCATTCTGTAGGGGCGCCTGGGTGGCTCAGTCGTTAAGCATCTGCCTCTGGCCTAGGTCACGATCCCAGGACCCTGGGATCAAGCCCCGCATCCGGCTCCCTGCTCGGCGGGAAGCCTGCTTCTCCCTCTCCCGCTCCCGCTCCCTCTGCTTGTGTTCCCTCTCTCGCTGTGTCTCTGTCAAATAAATAAGTAAAATCTTCAAAAAAGAAAAGAGTCATTCTATAGAGATTTCCCTCCAAGTTCTGACTCTTATAACCTTAACTTCTCAAATCTGTTCTAGCAGTGACAATTACTTCCTGAGTCATCTGTTTCTGTTGATTTGATTGATGTAGGAAAGACATTAGGGTTCGAAACTGACAGCCAAAGTCTTTGGTGCAAAAAGGTGCTTTTATTAAAGCACGGGGACAGGACTCATGGGCAGAAAGAGCGGTACTGGGGTCATGAGGAGTGGCCCATTAGATACTTACAAGTTGGGGGGGGGGCGGTTAGGGATAGTGGAAGTTTCTAAGGAATTTTGGAAGCAAGATTTCCAGGACCTTGAGAGGGCTAGCTATTGTTGGGGAGAGGTCATTTATTACTGTCTCATAAAACCTGAGTCATGAGACCCTTCAGATGTCTATCAGTGGGCCATATGCTTGGGGAATGACTGCCAACATGCATCTTGGGGGCTTTAGAGATAAAGGAAGTTTCCAAAGGAATTTTTATATGTTAAAGTAGACTTACAGATCCTGGAAGTCTAGAGATAAAGGAAGTTTCCAAAGGAATTTTTATATGTTAAAGTAGACTTACAGGATCCTGGAGCAGCGGGGTCAGGCTAGGATTGCCTTTTGCCTTAGCAAAGTGTCAACATGGAGGCAGCTGAGTTCCTAGAGGAAGGTCACTCTGCCTGTTTCAAGGACTCTAGGCAGTAAGGAACTTTAATAATTTTTCTTCTGCCTTTGCTTCCCACATTATGATGGTCCCATTTTAGTTTTTGAGTTCATCAGCATGTTTAACCCTTTCCTTATATTAAATTCTTGTTTAATTTGTGTAGTTCCTTCTGTCTTCCTGACCGGTTGCTGAATGATACCCTGCTTCATAGGTGGAGGGATGTTTCCCTCTACCACTAGCTGACCTGCATCTGACTAAGGCATCGAAGGAACTTGCTGTTTCCTGTTCATCAGATCCAGTCAGCAAGATATCATCAACAGAGCCGACCAGTGTGATGTTCTGTGGGATGTTAAGACACCCAAAAACCTCCGCTGATCTTGTGGGAGAGAGCAAGAGAAGTGCTTTGACGTAAGGCAAGATCATGAATGTGTACTATTGGTCCCGCTGAATTAAAGCAAACTACTTTCGATGGTTCTCACAGACTATTATAGAGGGGAGAAGTACTTTCCAGATCAGTAACAGCATAGCAGTTGCTAGAGACTGGGGCAATTTATGCCAGGAAAGATACTTCAAATGGAAAAGCGGCTATAATTGGAGTTACTGCCTGATGAAGTTTACAGTAATCCGTAGTCACCCTGTAAAATCCACCAACTTCCGCACAAACCAAGTAGCCATCAAAGTCAGGAGTTGTTTTTGACTTATCACCTGTCAGGAGAAACTTCAGAGAGCTTGCTTTGATATAAATGTTTTGTTGAACGAGAAACACACCGTCCTTAGACAGGGAGACCTGCAGCTGAACGTGAAGAGTCATTTTTTAGCTAATGGATGGTGGGAATAGGGCAATACAAGGTAGCGGAATGGAGTAGGGAGTGTTCCAGGCAGAGGGAACAACATTTGCAAAGGCAAGGAGGCAAGATGAGTTCGAGGAGAGTCAAATCCGTTTTTCGACTTTCCTACTGTGAGCTTCCTTATGAAGGCCTTTCGTGATCTGTCCCCGATCACTGTCTACCACGCCCTCTCTTGATGCACATGAGTCTGCCAGAGGACAGACAGTGGCCAATGCACACTCCCACCGAATAGTGGATTTCACCAAATCTTTGGGAAGTCAGATGCCACCCCAGAAAGAAATGGAGTGGGAAGTAAGAGGCTTGTATTAACTGAATTCATCTGAAAAATGCGTCTAAGAGACTGAGAAATCATTGAATTGAATGAGTAAACCCAAAGTGGTCAGATTTCACTGGGTGAAAGGGAAGCTTGAGATAAAAATGAAGTTCTACTAGGATAATAAAGTTGGCTTTTATCCACTTGAATATGTGACTTATAAAATCTGTACCTACAACATAAGCCTCTTATACACCAAACATGTTTTGAAAAATGCATTTAAATTTTGAAAGTTACTTATTAAAAGACTCCTTGAATTTGAACACACTATTCAAAATGGGAAGAAACCCATCATTTAAAAAGTGAGAAAACTGAGACCTCCAGAGCTAAAGTGATGTGTTGAAGGTCCTACAGCAGTTGGAGGGGTAAAAACTCACCTGAAGTTTCTGAATGAATTTCCTGCCATCAGTGCTGAAAAAATCTGAGGATGGTCATTTAGGTTTCTAAGAGAGAGGGCAGGCCTTAAAATAAATTAATTGTAAATGATAATAAGAATAAAAAAGTAGAGGGCGCCTGGATGGCTCAGTCGAGTAAGCGTCTGACTCTTGATTTCGGCTCAGGTCATGATCTCAGGGTCCTGGGATCGAGTCCCATATCGGGCTCTGGGCTCAGCAGGGAGCCTGCTTCTCCCTCTCCCCCTGCTGTGCTCGCTCTC